GATAAGGCTATGGATTGTTTAGGTGGATTTGGGTTAAGGCCTAAGTATTGGATAAGGTTATGCGTTTGGGTGGTTGCTTTGGCTAGGGTTATAGTAAAAGTTTTGGGTACAAGTTGGGGTGGGGTTGTAGGCGAGGGCGCATGTCATGAACTGGGAAATGACCTTTGCTTGCTCTATCATGATGCTATTTCTTTGAGGTAGCCTTGGTGCAACGCATCGGCAGAGGTTGTTTTCAAATGTCGGCAGTTGCGGTAACAGGCACAAAAAGGATCTCAATATTGTTCGAGTAACATCCGGTACCAAGCGTCACAATATTCGCAAATGAAAGATGAAGACCGAAACGTTGCAAGGAGAAGTGCACACTCGGCACAAAGCCTGCGGAGCTACAGCGAATAGAGGCCAGCAAGTTCTGCGAGGCTTGGGGACCTGTGAGCTGTTGTGAGATTTTTAGGGGATGGGGTTGAGGGATGTGAGCTAGGCTTCATGAGGGATCCTGATATGCTGTCAAGCGCCTGGAGGTTCAAGATACTACCACTAGGGATTGGGGTTGAGAGATTTGTGTTTAGGCTTCATCGGGATTTTCATGAGTAGGCCTCGAGCTCCAAGAGACCGTCACCTGCGGTCACCACGTATTTTGAACTATAAAAAACATCCTTCCTGGGATGCGAGCCATTGCTGTTGCCATGGGCCATAGCTGCCCTACGACTCATTACTGGGATACCCACTCGGTCATATCTGACGCATGAATATTATCCTGCCTGCTCTTACCATCATTACTACTCTAGTTTGGTTGCCGGGTTACCAAAACGTTCTTCTCATTGCTATGATGTTCAAGCATAGGCCTGAGGCTGTTCAATCCAAAAGCATCATTGTGCATGGAATTTTTTGCCAAAAAGACCCAGGTATGATACTTTAAAAACAAAATGATAGAACCACGTTCTTGCGCTAGCTTATGCCATATGCCTACAGCAACTACTGGTGCTTTTATTGTCATTCATGATCATTGTGGTTGCTATTACTACTGCTCTACTAGTAGTAGCTATTCAGGCTACAGTGGGATAGGTTTCGTGAGACGCTTGCGTACACTTGCATTGAGGATGTTTCGGGATTGCCTCTGACCTTCAAGCGGCTGTAGGACTCCTGAGCATGACTACCAAGATGTTATATAGGTTTACTAAATCCTGCCTGCACCCCTTAAATTCTGATCAGGATTATTCTGAGGAACTTTGCTCTGCAGGACGCAATGGCGGAGTCCACGACCATCCGCCTTGACGCACTGTTGAACTACATTGGCGACTGCCACTTGATCCACTGGCGTACAACTGAAAGTCAGTTTGGTGGTGTCCTCAATATGCAGCCCCCTGAGAGACCAAGTGGATAGATAAGGGTTTTGACCAGATCATGGACTTTAGAAAAACTGAGAAACTACCGTGTTTTGTCTTCAAAGTCGAACGCCTATAGATACCGCGTGTAACTTGCTGTACATTTTTTCGCGCAAAAATCCAACTGTACAAAAGATATGCGAGTTTGCGGGGGCCTCTCTTGCAAGGACTGTGACATGAAATGTGGCAGCCAGAACGTGTCCTTTCTGCATGTATTGACTTTATGTATACATGTGTTGTAGAAGATTGAATCAACAGGAACACGAGCATATTTGAACTATTCAGGCCGCTACATTGATTTTTCAGGACTCTCAAGCTCAGCCTGAGGCCACATCGATGTCACCTGCACCGTTGGCAGCCTGGTGCCCCAGCCGCACGGACCAGTATGTTTCTCATCGGGACGGAAGAGGTGTGGGGCTTAGGCTATAGGAATTTTTGGGTGTTGGGTTTAGGGACCGTTTTTTTTTCTTATAAAAAAAAATGGATGATTTAGGAATGACGGCAGAGTGGAAGCCCAAAGCACCGCAAACACCAAGTCCACACATCAGAGATGGAATAGCAACCATAAGAGCCATGGTGAAATGGCTCCACAATGACAAGACTAAAAAGGAAAGCACGGGTTATCAATTCAGATTCCAAGAGGTAGTTGAGACTCATAACAACAGTGATAAAAAGTCCTCAAACTGAGCAGGTTCTGCGGCGACTGCAAGTCACTGGCGAGATTGTGATTGAGCTGGTAAGGCTCCAGAAGCACCCTCCCTGGTTCAGTGGGGTGCGGATCTACTTCTCAAATCGCCCAAAGATTGCACCTTGCCTGCAACCGCAAAAGCTTTCAAAGTGCCAATGCATTTGCTCAGGCATGTGCTGTTGTTTGATTCAACCTCAGCGGCTTTTTTGTTTGCGTTCAAACGAGACCGGAGCTACTTTGCAACCACATCTGGAACGAACGTTCAAGGTCCTTTGGTAGCCGCACAGTTTCGGGTTTAGGGTGTGGGGTTCGGATACAGGGCCCCCTGTTTCTTTCAAAGGGACTAGCAGAGCCGGGACTTCGATATGCGAACTAACACCTATATAGTAGTAGCAACTGAGTACACGCAATCACTTTTTTGTGGCTGATGTGATCCCATGGCAGACGAACTAATCGGTTGTAATCTTCTTGGCCCAAGGAACTGAGCAGACAAGAATAGGGCAGCAGGAAAGAAAGAGACCATCCCGTAACCGAGCCATAGTCTGAACTCCTTGAAGGGGGGGGTTATATAGTGGATTATGCAGGTGAGTATGATCGGGCCAGTTATGGGGGATACTAGGAGATTAGTCGATATAGCTCATTTAGCCCCGTGTAAATTCCTAAAAGACAGTAGACTTACTAGAATCCTTTCGGTGGTTCCCTGCTAGTTTCGGGGGAGAGTAGGGTCATCAGCAGTGGACGGTAGAAGCCAGTGGTTACCTTAAGATGGGACCTTAAGATTGCATGTGGATTAGGAAGAGATTGCAGGGGTGTGTGTTGGGGCATAGAACCTGGTTTTCTTGAGAAATGCCTCGTGGCGAGCTTCCTCAAGTTTGATTTGCCCTGCAGGGTTGTTTAAGATTTGGAGGCCATGATTTGTTTTGATATACGTTCAGAAAGTATACTCCCCCAAACTAACATGGAAACCCATATAGCCCCCCTTTAAGAGGGCTGTAGTCTTTGTAGGGCCTTTTTTGGGTTTCCATGTTGGTTTACGGGAGGGTATCAGTTCATTCTGCTGGCATCCCGGGTCGTCAGGATATGCTCAGGACTCTCCATTGGGTTTATAGTCCCCCTTAAGTAGATAGAATATGGGGTATATGGGGATCTTATTACAATATACCCACAGCCGTATTCTATCTACTTCAGGGGGACTATAACCCCAATATATTCTTTTCTTTCCATTATCCCCCATGTAAGCCCAACATAACCTACTTGAGGGGGACTGCCGGGTTTAGGATTCTTGGAGATTTGCAATTTTTCTCAGGGATGCCTATAATCCGCTGAAGGACTTGGTGGTTGAAACAGAAGTTCTCGGTCTCAACGCCAACTTCGAATTCATTAAGCACCTCAGCTTTGCAGCAGGGGTCGGTGGTTGGATGTAGGTTCTTGGGTTCGGCTTAAGGGCTTCATATTTATTAGCCTGACTACTGGCATTATCATTGTTAGTAGTATCATTAGTACTTTTATTACTATCATTGCTGTTATTGCATTCTTGCAATTATTCTGCTTATTACTTACAAGGGATTTGGGGTTTTCCTTGGGAAGGGCGAGTAGGCATGGCTTTTGGATTGCCTCCGCCCGGGTCTCCAAAAGCCTGGGCAGGTCAGAATTGAGGAAGGGTCATGCGGTGCATGGGTGAGATCCTGCCTGACCCTAGGTGTCCCCAAGGGTTCAAGGACCCAAATAATAGGGTTTTAGGGCCCAACTACTATAACATTAATGGTATTTTGGCCCTAAAAGTTTATAATTTGGGTCCTTGGACCCTAGGTGGAGCATACTTCCGTACATGCCAGGGTACGTACGAGGCCATCCTTTGTCCATCTGCAATAGGGGGAGGATGATGCCACTGATCGACTTTGGCAGCCCTGTAGTACCATCAGGTGCTAAGTTTTGTTCTTAGATCTGATTCGGAAAAACAAGGGGGTCAGAATTCAAACCCTGAACGCTACACCCCAATGCGCATACTGAGGCTCTAAACTTAAGCTTATAACCCCTCAAACCGTTCATGTTAACGAAGGCAGAAGTTGGTGGCAGCCCTGGGTGACGTCATTGCTGGGCAGGCAGTTCTTCCGAACCGGTTCTGCGCGCCTGGTCTTCGCTATAAGAGTTTGTTGTTTTGGGTTTAAGGGCATTTGGGGCCTCGATATTACATTCGAAGCGGGTCATTGGTTGCAGTTGTGTACTGCCCCCACTCCGGGAAAGTTGGATAACAATCAATTATGTAGCCTGTAGCCTTTTGACATTACCCCTATGATAGACTGTTACCGGGTGGGTGCAGTACCCAAGAAAGAAGCATTGTTTTTGTGTTCCTTTGGGTACAAATGCTGCCCATGAATCTGCTCGTGGCAGCGGTTTCTGAATACACTGAACCTAGATTGAGTGAGGTCTCATGGTAATTCTGCATTACTTGAATCCCCACAGTACGTAGAACATTTGCTCCTTTTCTCTATTGTGTTTCGGTCCATTACTTTACACACTTTGGGGGTCCAAGTAGCGGCGGTGTGGAATGTTTTGCAACAACCCAAGTTTGAGGGATCCGGGGGTAGCTAGGCAGCCAGGGAAATAGGCTTAGTATAGTACAATAATCAGGACTATCCCCAATCCAAGGCCCTATTATAGCAATTGACTGTACCACAGAAATCCTGAGGGTCTTACAGACTCAAGTTAGCCTGCTTTTCAAGACCACATGTACCAAACTTCCTAGGCCGCAGAACATGCTCATAGAGGTTATATTCAACCCTGATATGTTCACTGCAAGGGTATAGCATGCGCCCCAAGCCCTAGCCCCTTGTGTAGAAGCCTGAATTCGTACCCATGTTGAGCCTCGTCTAACGATATCCTAAACCCTAAACCTTAAATCCTTATAGCCAACCCTAGGGATCCAAGTATATAAATACTACTAATAATGGAGAGGGGGCTCTATAGGGATCCAAGTATATACAGATAATACCTACATTGGGCCCCAAAGACTGTAAATAGTACCTACATTGGTCTATTTGGATCCCTAGGGCAAGGGTAGTATACCTAAGGTACTGCCCCCCCCGCAGTAACAGTTGGATCATGATTTTAGTATGGTTATATATAGCCCTTAATAGGACCCCTAATAGGACTTCTAATATAGACTGTTACTGGGTGGGGGCAGTACCCAAAGTATACCCCAAGCATCCTGTACCCCCAGAACAGCCAGCCCTGAGATTCCGATTGGCGACGCCATTAGCGAGGTTGACCTCCGACTCTTTGCCTGTGACAGCTCCCTAAGGGTCCAAGGACCCAAATAATGGGGTTATGTAGGGGTTATTTAGGGAGAATGGAAAATAAGATGGAAAGTACTATTCAGGGTTCAAGGACCCAAATAATGGGGTTTTAGGGCCCACACACTACGATAATATTAGGGTTTTTTGGGGACTAAAGCCCTAGTATTTGGGCCCTTGGACCTGAGGGACTGCTGTAAGGGGTGCAGATCCTCAGGCGTTCTTCACTAAAGAAAGAGACTATATAAGCTATAGTCGCTAGTATTTCCGATCACAACCCGTATAGTAGTCCCCTATATAATCTCCTATATAAACCCCTTTAACGAGTTCGAACTATAGCTCACATGTAGACTTCAGGTTGGTGTGTGTATGGAACCCTATGGGTGAGTGTGATGGATAAGTACCAGCAGCTTCCTTCATGCTTGCTCTCTGAGCACGCCCCAGACCCCATGACTCCGTGCTTGATTGAGATGACCTGGGCCTCAGCAGGAAGTAAAACAGGGATCTGCTTACGGATCCTTGTGACTGCTCTTCATAGTTGCATGTCATTAACCATGCAACTTGAGATATGGGAGTTTCTCTAGATAGGGGAGCCCGAAATAGACCCCGACATACTCGCGTGCTGTTTATAAGGACTCCCCCACAACAAGAAGGTACTCTTGATTTTGGGAAACTAGTCCCCATAAACCGCTGCATGATCCCACCTTCCATTTCATCCTCCATGTTCTTGCACTCTCCGTTGGGGCAAATAATCCCCTAAACCCTATAGAACCCTTTCTAGCCCTATATAACCTTGTATAACCCCACATCGCCCCATTTTATCCCTTGTAGAACCCTATATAAACCTATATCTTCCTTTACCTCCACACCCTTTGCAACCCCAAGACTTTGCCCAGGAATGCCAACTCCGCAGGGGGTGCTTAGACTCGTGGTGCTGGAATCTGGATCTATATTAGGGTTTAGGGCTTAGGGCATAGGGCTTAGGGATGAGTGCTTGGGGCTTAGGGTTTAGGGTTTAGGCCCAGGCTTTCTATAAAGAATTACCCAAAAGGTCCATGTAGGTAAAAAGTAATATGGTATGTTTTTAACCTTCAGGGTAGCTCATCTTAGGCCTAAGTATATGCAGTAGTCCGCTTCTGCAGCATTGCTGAAACCGGCACGCTGAAGCCCGCGGCAGTGGTGGAAGCCCAATCACGATGGGATTGATTTTAGTCAGTCGATACCTCTCCTTTGACATGTGGAATGTACTATTTTTAGGTTCGGTTTGGGGATAGAGCTTTCAGTCATTTGTTGAGGTTTGGGTTCAGGATTTGCTTACTGGGCGTTAGTAGTGCATAAGACAATGTTATCCCTATATAACATGGCCCCCATATAGCTTGTATTCCTTCATTTCCAACTAACCCTAAACACTAAACCATGGACCTATAACACATTCCCTTCTTAGCCCCGAGTTGAGGCTTAGGGCTGAGGGTGTACGAACCAGGGTGTGGCCGGACTTCCAGGTGCTTTCTATCCTCCTACAGCCTAAAACCCCATGCTCACATCTAGATCCTACACCCAAAGCCTTTAGCCTCTACTTTTGGTAGCTCAGTACCCTGAACCCTTAGCCTTACCTGGACCTCCATACACTACCCCTTTTTTAGGGTACCTAATTTTGTAAATCGACGATACTAGACATAGAGTTAGGTATCCTTCCAAGGGCTAGACCTACATCCTAAGCCCGGAGCCTATATCCCCGAAACCCTAGGCCGCTATAAAACCGGTATAGGCCCCAACCCTTCAAACCTATACGCACTAAACCCCAAATCCTTTGTCCTCAGCCCTAAGGCCTGTAAGCCTTAGATGCTGAAATCGTGTTTCCTACCCAGGAAGCCGTTGGGCTCCCGGATCCTGGACGCTCGCACTGGCCCCTCTGGCATATCCAGGGTTGTCCAAGAAACAAGATGAGTCATAGTCTTTACTCCTGAAAGGGGAGTTACATAGGGGATTATATAGGGTTTAGGATTTCGGGTTTAGGGGTTACAGTCATAGGCTATAGTCTAAACTCCTCAAAGGGGAGCTATGTAGGGGATCATATAGGGGACTACTATAGTGCTTATTAAGGGGGATACTAGGAGTTTAGTCCAAGAAACAAGACCAGGGTGCCTTCAAGTCTGTTCGAACCCTCGAAACTTACCATATCTTACCAGTGCTTGAGAGGGAATCAGAGAACACATTCCCTATAAAATAAATTCCATTCTTCCCTACTACACCCCAGTAATGAATTTTGGTAGTCTGGAAAATGGGGTTACTATAGTCATTACTTGTTCGGGGTTCCGCTCCGGTCTCACCTCGTGCGCTCATATGTTTGAAGTTGCCAATCTCATTGGGTTGCATTGTCCCTAAACCCTAAACCCTACTTCCTATGTAGTTTACATAGAGACAAGGATCTGATCTTCCTATTTGGGTTTTTGTATTTGATAAGTAGACCAGAATCGAAAGCGCGCTGTGCAATGTTTGCTCCCTTCCATGTGCCCAAGGAGTCTGAGCCCAGTTTCTGCCTCCTGCTTGGAGAAACTTTGGGGGGCTCAAGAAAAGTAACCCTGCAACAGTAGTAACCTGGTTCCTTGTACTAGCCTGTCGCAGCCCTGTATGAGTATAAGTAGCCTGCTACTGTACCATGTGAACTTCCTCCAGCATGCACCTTAATGGTTCATATTAGCGAACAAGCGTAATCCCCATATAGCACCCTAAACCCCAAACCCTAAACCCCAAACCCTAAACCGCGTTCATCTGTTCCCAACTAAGAACAAGTAAGACACCTTGGCAGGCACAACGTGTTCCGACCCTTCCTGGGTTCAAGGGGAGTCACCGAAGGACCAGACGTGCATCCTTACGTGGAGGCAGGCCAAGGCTTTCGGTGTAGGGGTTACTGTTTAGGGTTTAGGCTTTTGGTTAAGGTTTAGGGGGTTTTTAGGGTTTAGGCTTAGGGGTTAGGGGTTTAGGCTTAGGGTTTAGGGTTTAGGGATTGTTTGGGGCTTTTAACTACATGGAACAAACTGCTTCAACTAAGTACGTGTCAAAATGAGGAGTCCTTTTGGACACATGTGCAAGACAGAACGATTTTCTGGGGAGATATCTTGGGAATATTATTAGGCACAGATACATAATGGAAAAGAACATGCAAACTACCGGAGCTATAAACACTAAACCCTAAACCCTAAATTGTTGGTGTGTGTAGCAAGGCAGTGAGGTAGCTTCACGTCGCCACGTACAGATGCTGTCAGCTGACGTCGCGGAGTTGTTGGGCCCAGGACTGTTTGAGACATTTGCTTGTGGGTAATTATTATGTTATTATGTTTGTTTGTCTCTTTGTCCAACAGGTGGGCTTCAATTTGCCAAACTGCCAGTGCGCCCAGATCTCGACGCGCCGCATGCTGAAATCCCAGCAATGGACACTCAGTGTGGTCTTTCCGTACTGATTTTCTAAGAATATTTTCCAAACGACATGGGCAACGGTGGGTCTGAGCGACACAAAGGAGGGCCACAAGGTACATCCAAAATATGAGTTTTGTTCTAAAATACTTTGCTGACTTTTTAAAGGGATCCTTGGCACTTCCCATATGGGCTTCCCACAACGCCCATAATGAATGCCAGGATCATCCAGGCTCCCCCATGTTGAGAAACCCCCATATGAACCATCCTAAAGCCTGAACCCTAAACCCTAATTCTGAACCATCCAGAGGCCTCAGGTCTCCGGAAGAGGTGTAGCTTCGTCCTTAGCTTCGGTTGAGAGTTAAAAGCATGAGCCTTTCCTCTTTGAGCCCCAAACTGCTGAGGCCTCTTCATGCGAGGGCAAACCTGAAAACTGCCATCCCACCCAGCAGTGAAATCAGCTAGTATGTGGGGTTAAAGAAGGTTATATAGGGTTACATAGGTCATTTACTGTGGTTATATAGGGTTGTATATAGGGTTACATAGGGGAATGTAGGTTGTACAGTGTTTATGGGGTTATGTAGGCTTATGTGGGATTATCTAGGGTTTTATATGGTTATTTTGGGTGTATATATATATATATATATGTATGGGGTTATGTAGGGTTATATAGGATAATGTAGGGGTATTAGCTCAAATGTAACTTTGGCACCCCCAAAAGTCCCCTCAAAACTAGAGTCGAACTATTGTGTTAACTTCCATTGCTGGTGACTGGGTCTGCGCAGTTCAGAACAACATCATATGCTTTGGGGCTTGCTTCGCACTATAGGAAAAATCGTATGACAAGAATGGACATTGGACTCTAGGTGTAGTGATTGAAAACACACACCAAAAAATGATGATGTAAACGACCCTAAATCTTGGACAAGGGTAACCCTTGCCAACTTTCCCACTGTCATTCTTATCCTGGACAACAGACAAAAGCCGTACAGAATATGGGCCCGCATTCCTCTCCATCGCAGGTGGCTATCGGCGCCCAGGTTCAGAGGACTGGTACTGGGCCATTGACAACAGCTCTCCCTCTCTCTCTCTCTCTCTCTCTCTCTCTATATATATATTTACATGTGTATTTATATATATATATATAGACACACAAATGTATGTGGAAGCTCCCAGAAACAGGGGATCCCAAATATAGACTCCAAACTACTGCATTCCTAGTTCTTACTTTTGAGTCCCCCAAACCGCAGCCCAAATTTCGGGAACTCTCTACATAGGGTTTGGAGGGAAGTTGAGGGTCTAGAAGGATGTCCAAAGCTATGGGTCCCTGTTGTTGGGTTTTGCTTGTAGGTGCAGTGGAGAGTTAAGGGTTCGGTGTCAATGGATTATGTACAGAGCAGCTTGTTTGGAAAAAGGTTTCTCCTTCCAAAAGTGGATAGCTATTCGTCCCCTCCCTCTAGGAATGATTGCCACCACACACACACACCACACGTTAATATTTATAACTTCCAAGATGGTACACTTTTTTTGATTGAGGGAATTTGAAGTGTTAGTAGCTGGGAGGGGGGGGGGGGATCATTTGAATTGTAAGCAAAGGCCTTGTCCACAGAGCATTCAAAACAAGGGTGTACGACACCACAGGGCTCAAATCTGCAGAGGTCCATTTCAAAAAGTTGCGAAGGAGTCTCCATTTCAGCTATGATTCGTCTAAACTCCGTAGAGGGGGTTAGCTAAGGGATCACATAGGGGAGTAGTATAGGAGTCATTAAGGGCGATACTATAGGAGTTTAGGCTATATTATAGCTTATGTATGCGGAATATGCTGATTAATCCTTCTTCCAATCAATAAGCCTCTGAAGAAGAAACACTTTTCCGGAGGACATCCGCCAAGATCATTGTGCACTTATCATGAGCAATGCTTATTGTGCGGAATTAGGGCGTGGCTGAAGCCGTATTGATGGGTTGAGAAGGAACATGTTGCTCAGGTTTGACGGCTTTTAGTCGGCTCAGGTTGGTTGTTATTGGTTTCTGAGGCTGGCCTGGACCTCACAAGAAATGTTACTCGTGGGTTTTTAATGGCCTTGGAACGCGGTTCACTATTAGGGCAGGGTGATGAATCCCGAGCCAGTGCCTCCATACGAACACCAACACATGGTCCAGACTCCAATTTTCAATCTGCCTAACCCACAGATTTTTTTTGTGGTATAGACTTAGGGCCCAGAGGGGTTCCCATACTACTACTACTACTGCTACTACTACTGCTGCTGCTGCTGCTGCTACCACCACCGCCGCTGCCGCCGCCGCCGCCGCCGCCGCTGCCCCCACCACCACCACCACCACCACCACCACCACCACCACCACCACCACCACCACCACCACCACCACCACCACCACCACTGCTCTAGAGCCCACATGTACACTATGTAGCTACATGGAGCCTTTGGGTAGCGCCGATTGTTACAGAGGACTCATAATATCGTGCCGGGCATGCTGTCAGCTCCTGAGCCTCCTTTTTGCATCTCTACAGAAGATCCGAGAGTAGGCGCCCAAATTACCAAGATTATGGTCCTAGCTTTATCGTATAAGGTGCTGACCTCAAACTAATATATGGGTAATTATGTCCACCCCTGGAGTAGCTGCGAAAGCGAGGACGATCGTGGTGAACGGCAGCTGTGGCCCCAGAAGCTGTGAGACCCTCTTGTATTTGGATTTGGGGCTTAGATGCCGACCCTACTTCTTGCACAATATTTTTGCCTGTCAGAGTTTGAGACAACCCTGTTCTAGAGCCATCACAGAAAGGATTTGTTCCACTCCGAAACAAGTCGCCGCCTCAATCTCTATTGCGCCAAAACCGCCCAGCATGATCTCTTCACAAGGTTTGCCTGGCCCCTTTTCTTGTTGGTGGCTGGCAGGGTATAAGTGAATTCCAATCCTTACTGCATGTAATCCTCATATGATATATTCAATACAAGTCCCTGCTAACCCCTAGCAAGTTTACAAGCTAAAGAACCTTAAGCAGGTCCTAAAAATGTCTGGCAACGCACTTACATAAAAGCCCATGTGCACCAGTAGATACAGCCCCCCTTATCAGTTGATAGAATATTATGGGACATATGGGGATCATATGATATTGTTCACTTCCGTATTCCATGTACTTCAGGGGAACTATAGATGCTGCAGGGTTATGAAGTGGGGCATTGCAGGGACTCTGCTGGTAGGTAGCTTCCAAGTTGATACATCACCCCCCCCAGAGGCCTCTGACCCTGTCATGTGCAGTTTTTCTGATTCAATGAAGTATGGCTTTGGGCTTAAACCCCAAACCCTAAACACAAATCACATGAGGCCTCTCCCCAAAGTGGGAGCACGGCAACTGCTTCGACTTCGTCGTTGACGACATCAAGCGCCAGGAGCCATTCAGCCGGCCAAGGCTCCCGAAAAGGTTAGGGGTTTAGGGTTTAGGGATTAGGGTTGGGGATGATGGAAAGGAAAATGGACACTACTATAGTATATTGGGGTTACATGGGGATAGTGGAACAAGAAAATGGAGACTACTTTTATACCGGGGGGTTATATGTGAATAATGGAAAAGAAATGGAAACTACCTGCAGGTATGGGTTTTCGGTGTTACGGTTTCCATCCAGGTGCCCCCATTGTACCCTTTCTATATTTCATTTTTGGCGTCTCCTTTGTAAAGCTGAACATTAANNGGGGTACTGGGGAACCTAGTCATTGGGAGCTAGCCGGGTCTAGGTGAGGGTGGGGGTGTAAGCGGATAAACACCCTTATTTAAGCCTGATTAAGCTTTTGCTAAGTTTCTACTTGGATGAAATGGCTACTTACACCCCCCCTCCCTCCCCATAAATGGGTCTCATTGCTTCAGTTTACACTGGAGTTCCTTAGGCGGTCGCATCATTAGTTTTCATGGCCATCACTCTGCAGACGACTGCAGCGTGGAAATCCTGAAGAGGAAAGGGCACTACATCTATATTATGGCTTCTTTCTGGGGGTCACAAGAAATTCGCCACGCCTCCGCCGCAAAGGTGATGTTCAATCACTTCCCGCCCCGAACAGCTTGGTATTTTTGCCCTTAGATACGAAATCCGCAGATTTGACCCTAAAACTAATATCCTCCTTTTGGGAAACCCCTGCATACAGTAACTTCCTGAGCCTTTTGAGTTGAAGCACCCCTCGGCAGTTGCAGGAGATGCAGTTTGCTGTCCACGACAGCGACACAGGAGCTTTCAAGTGGAAGCAACTTGCTCGCAATGAATCACTTTACTCCGTGTGGATCCACACTATGGGCTGCATAGGGGTAACCTTCAAGAAGTTCAATTTCGGTGCTGCAGCTGCTAGACCATCAGCTTAACACTGGCGCCTACACAGCACCCAAGCATTGGTTCCTGTACTCTTTTCATAGCTTGTGCAGCATGCGCCCCTGCAGAAGTTCCTATATACTGTTCTTGCGCCGTCTTTTCAATCGGCCATATCAGCCCTATCAGCCCTATCGTAAAATTCCGATAATCTGCATATGAAGCCCATATGCAAACACAAGCAACATGAAGATGTGCCAGAGCTTTGGCGTTAATGTATCCTCCAGGCATCTATAACAGCATACGCCCTGAATCTGAGGCCCTGAACAAGCTCCAGGCTTGAAACCCCAAACCCAAAGCCAGCACCC